GATATTGAGAAACCTTTACTCTCTTGAACTTTGTAGGTGTATCTGCCACTTCCTTTTTCCTATATGGGGAAATTATAATGGTAAGTGGACATTAAAAAACTACAGATGAAAACTATATTTTAGGTTGAGCGTCAGTAAATTGTTTGTATTAGGTTTTACTGTTTACTGCCACTTCCTTTTTCCTATATGGGGAAATTATAATGGTAAGTGGACATTAAAAAACTAAAGATGAAAAACTATATTTTAGGTTGAGCGTCAGTAAATTGTTTGTAGCGGTTAGGTTTTACTGTTTAGGGTGGGACAGAATACTTTGATTGGCAAGAACTAGATTGCAAGTCAAGAATTTCATTAGTACCAAAAGTTTGTTAAAAAAGAATATGTATATATGTATATTATATGACAGACTGTAATTATTAGTAAATTGATTGGTCGGTTTGGATTGATCTTTTACTCCGTTTGTAATTTGTTTACTGGTGTTTTATTGATTTTCTCTTCAAAATCAACCTTATACGGCTATATGCCTTCGGAAAAAGTGAAAGGGAACTCCAAAACAAAGATTCCGAAGGCATCGAAGATGGTGGCTTTATTCCTACTTTTCACCGTCTTTGTGAATCTTTGAAAGAAGGGATTCTTTTTGTTACTTTTTGGGAATAATTCTTCCTTTGTTAATGTGTTTTCTTAGCCCTCGCTTGTTCATGCTTCAACAATTCAAGAGAAATGATTTAAGTTTCTAATTTTATAAAATGTACGTTTGAATAATAATTTTGTGCAAATTCAAAATGTCCAATTATTTAGGTGTCAATATGCATGTTTAGGTTAGGAGACCGAAATTTGAGTTGATAACATTTAGGTTAGTAGTCAATTTGGTAGCATTCTTAGTTACCTTTTTAGTTAATTACTAAGAATGATGTGACACTTTTTTTTTTCTCCTTTTTTAGTGACTAAAAAAAAAAAAAAAAAAAAAAAGGCTTTGCCTCTCCCTCTACTTCTTTCTCCCTTCCTCCCTCCCTCCCAACCATCTCCGTGTCATGGCTATCAGAGGTGTTCTTCCCTAGCCGAAATCCGAAATGTAGGAGGGTAGAGAATAAAGCAAAGAAAGGAAGAGGAAGAGAAATGTAAAAAGAAGGGAAGCAACATAACAAAGCAGCCTTTTGTGGGAAAGACAAAGAAGAATAGATTGGATCCATCCATCTTGAAATGACGACAATTTGATAATCAACCAAGAGAAACTCGCGAGGCTCACAGGGGTTGAAAATAAATGGGTTCCAACGGGAAAGAAATGATGGAATTGGGTGAATCCAATTGGAACCAAATTTGAAGCGAACAATAATTGAGGGAAAGGTGGGTTCCATGGAACTTCCCCCTCTTTTTCTCTAATATTTCATTCATTCACTTCCCATCTTTTCCATGGATTTTTTCTTTTGTAGTTTTGCTTTAAACTCTACCATCTTCTTTTAATAATTTCACAATAATGATCCACTTCCATATTTTCCATATTTCATTTTAAAACTTCCATCCTATTTAATCTCTAAAACTTTATCTATTTTTTAAACTATGATCCTCTATTATAACTATTGCCATTAACAAAATCATATGATAGAAAATTTAAAAGATTGCATAATGGGCATACTCTTATGTGTGGGCCCTCCTCGTTGGAGGAAAAGCCCACCTGCTCCCTCCCCTTTTATGGATCTCTAACTTTCCCCATCACCAAACCAACACATTGCTTTTTTCATCTGTTCATCACCCTTCAAAAACCTCTCTATTTGCTTTTTTTTTTTTTTTTTTTTTAACTTCAAAATTTGACCCTATCACTCTCTTTTTTGGGTTGAAGTTACTCTTACTGCGTATAAAAATAAAAACTTTGAATGACCTATAAGTAAATAATATTGAACTAATCAAATAAACCGAGCAATCCATGTGATATATATTAAGTGTCTATGTTGACATCACATCCATAATTTTAAAGCCACTCTGTGTCCTTTTCCTCAATGGGCACTATTATTTATTTCTAAAATTTAAATGTTTATAGTCAACTAATTTATTTAAAATATAACTAAGAAAAAAAAATCAAATAAATTATAATTTATCCATTTTTGTAACTTAGATAGTTCTCAATTCCTTAATTAAAAAAATTGGAGGATTAAGAATTTATTATTTGAGTAATTAGCATTTTAAAACTTCTAAACTAATAAATACGGCACCGCTATCCCTTATTGGAGAACAAAAGACTATAGCAAATTATGACCAAATAAATAGAATTTTGTTTATACATGCATGGATTATTTTATTTATTTATTTATTTATTATTATTATTTAAAAGAAAAAAGAACAAAAAAAAAACATGTTACATGATCAATATTGTCTACGGGAAATCCAGGGGACATCATTGTGCTAGCCATTATAGGTAACGCCGAGCCGATAAATATTCCTTATTTGAAAAATAAAAAAAAATTAATTTAATTATGAGCCCCCCAAAAGTAGCATATTTGTAATAACAGGCATGGAAGTGGACAAAATGTGGAATTTGTTGGGGCGTGGGGGTCGTAAAAGAAATAAAGAAAAGAAAAAGGGGTGTAATTACCGTGATGGGCAAGGTTTGCGTGTTACTTGTCCCTACTTTCCCATTCATTCTTCTTAACTTTCTTAACCCTCTTGTCCTTTTGAAACCCAATTTGTTTCTTTTTTTATTTAATATTAATTAATCAATTCCATGTGATACTTTGTAGGTATTCAAAAACACTTTGATAGGTGATTTTTTTTTCATATACTACCAATAAGAATTTGTTTAATTTTTTTTTATACGTTTAGAATTAATGGATATTTTTTAGATTTTCTTTAAAATTTAGAATATTATTGAATTTTTTTATTAAAAAGTTAAGGTATATTTATTAATATAGGGTCTAGTTAAAATATAAATTTTCTCTTTAAAAGAAAATGGGTGGGAGAAGAGAATATTTAGAGAAAAGAAAAAAAGAAAAAAAGAAAAAATTATGGGACGTGGTGAGTTTTGGTGGAGGAATGCTTGTGACCTACTCCTTTTAAGTTCCCAATCCATTCTGTACTTTTCTTCCCACGAAAACCACAATTCTCACCGTTAGCTCTTCATACCCTCAAAACATAAAAACCCAAAAAAGAAGCTTTGATTTGATCCATATGGACTCCCACAAATGCAAGCTCTGTTCTAGACTCTTCACCAATGGCAGAGCCTTAGGCGGCCATATGAAGGCCCACCTCACTGCAGCGCCGGCGCTACCACTCCCTCCCTCCAAGCCGCCCACCATCCACGTTGCCCTTCCTTCGTCCACATCCTCCTCCTCCGCCGCCGCCGACGACTCTCTCGAATCGGAACACGACCCAACGCTCTACGAGGTCAGAGAAAATCCCAACACAAATTTCAGATTTTCAGATCCTGTTTTCGATATTGTTCTTCAAGACAGAGAGAGCGAGACCGACTCCAGAAACCCCACTTGTAACAGATCCAAACGGCGCCGGCAACCGCCTTTGGAGCCACCCGAACCTGCCAGCTCTGTTTCCTACACCTCGCCGGAGGAAGACCTGGCCATGTGCCTCATGATGCTCTCACGTGACCGACGGATCGAAAATCAAAATCAAATCCCAAACCAATTTGAGAAGATTAGAGCGAAGAAGCCACTTAGAAGGAAGAAAAAGTGCCAGAAATGCACTAAACATTTCCGATCTTACAGAGCTCTGTTCAGCCATGAAAAAATCTGTCAGTTAAAAACAGAGCTGGAAGAAGAAGAAGAAGAAGAAGAAAAACAGGAACATTTCAAAAATGGGGGAAATAGAAGAAGAATCTTCAAATGCCCATTCTGTTTTAAGCTATTTGGGTCAGGTCAAGCACTTGGCGGGCATAAGAGATCCCATTTCGTGAGCTCGACAAATGGCGGAGTTAGTGTAGATAGCTCTGTTTCTTTGAAAATGGAAATAAGTCTCATAGATCTCAACTTACCGGCTCCTCTCGAAGAAGATGATTACAGTGTTGTTTCTAATGCTTGACAAATTTGTTGATCATAATCTTTCTTTTTTTTTTTCGATGGGAAGAAGAAGAAGACGAAGACGACGACGTTTAGTGGAAGACTTGGTATAATGTGGTCTGGTTTGAACTGAAACAGACTAATTATGGGACTTTTCTTTATTTCTGTTTTGTTTTGACCAGAAAGTGAAGACGAAGACGATGATTAGGAAATTGGGTGGAAAAGTATATGACATTTAATAAAATACATCAAATTTCATAATGCCTATAAATTACTTTGATTTCCCCCTTATTCCAAGTTAACGATCAAATTAAGTTGAGTGAAAAAAGTAATAAAATCTATATATATATATATACATATATACATATATATTTTTGAAAGTTTAATTATTTAAGTGTTGGAAATAAAGAAAAAAGAAAAAAGAAATGGACAAGTTAATATTACAATTAATAAGAATTGACATAAGAACGAAAAATAATAAATTTGGGACCAATGGCTAATCTTATGTTTGCAACATAATTTAAGGACCACAGTTTTTGATGCAATATGCTCACCAACTTATGCCCCAAATTGACTTTTTAATGTCGTTTTAATCTTTTTTTTATTATTATTATTATTTTCAATTTAACCAAATTTAAAACAAAACTGAATTGATGACGTGGTTCAAACTGAGCTGACACGCTTTTTAATTAATGAACAACCCAACATACACAGAACAAAAAAGCCAAATAAATAAATAAATAAATAATTCCACGTGGATGTTTTTCCTTCCAATTTCCCTTTTTGGTCAACCTAATGCATCTATTCAGGCTTTTCTTTTTCTGTACTTTCTTATTTCCACTCTTACCCTTTTTTTATTTTATTTTATTTTATTTTATTTATTATTATGTTCTCAAATACAATGATAGAAGTTGAAAGTTTCCAACTTAAAAAATATATATATATATTTTTGTTTTAGTCCCTCATTCTTATTATTTAATATTTTATAATTGCTATTAAACATACTAGTTGGGAGACCTATCGAAGTTCCGGCGCCAGGGAAGCCCTAGCAGTGCCAACTGCCAAAACTCCGCAGGTTTCAAAATAATCTTTTCACTTTTTTTAAAAAGAATTATGTTTGGATATACAATTTTTTAATGTTTCTATTGTAGAGCCCTCAGCGATCACCCAAGTTTTGCCCCCAAAATCTCTGGATTCACCCAAGTTGGAGCATCATACGCAGTGCACGAACAATCCTACAAAGTTCACGGAGCATCTGCAATTCGTTGAAAGAAAGTAAAAAAATAATGCGTCAATAGATACAATGGCAGCTATGGCTGGCCAACCAGCGCACCATCAACCAACTACGGTGGAGGAAGTTAGAACACTTTGGATAGGGGATTTGCAGTACTGGGTCGATGAGTCTTACCTTAATTCTTGCTTTGCTCACACTGGCGAGGTTTGTTCGTTTCTTTCTTCTTTAATTTTGCGCACTTTTGCGTTTATCATTTTGCTTTTAATCAATAGAATTTCAAGTGGTTTTCGACTTTTGTTATCGTAGTGCAATATGTAATTATTATATGGGTCTGAATTGGTTAGTTTTCTTCTGGTCTTGGAAGTGAATTTGGGTGCATAAAATTAAAATTAGAATGTGTTTGTATTTTGTTCTATTGCTGTGAGAAATGAAGTACGCGGAGGGGATGAATTGAATGCTTGAGAGCCGTGGTAGTGGAAATGCGAGTGTATAAAATTATACTTATTTTCTAGTAGTTGTTATATTATAATGGCTCATACAAGTTTATTCTTGAATCTTGATGTCTAGTGGTAGTTTTTTTGTTATTGTATTTGAGTCAGAGCTTGGTTGCTTTTTTTTTTTTTTTTTTTTTTTTTTTTTTTTTTTTTTTTTTTTTTTTTTTTT